CTTCCACTCTGCACCCTATCCCACCCTTCACCTATTCCACGTGCCACTGTGCTTCCCCTGCCTGCCCCCCCGGTGCCACACGACGGTAAAAGTGACAAATGCCCGGAGTGTGGGACACGTCCCTCCGAAGGGATTGTGGAGATCCTCCCACACGGATTGTATCCAACATTTCCCAAACTCTTTTCTCCTTCTCCAGGTAAAAGGAAGGCCACCATAGTCCCACATTCTCCTTAAAAGAGAGATGGCTGGTTGTACTTTTATCCTGAGGGTCACTAATGGTCAGGTGAGGGCAGAGGCTGAGAAGGTAAGCTCAGCTACTCTTGAGAGTTGAAGCCAGGCTGCTGTTACTGATCTGCATCGCAAACTGGCCATGCAGCCAGCTGAGCTACGACCAAGCCCCTGCTTTCCTGACTTCTCTTCTGGAACTAATTTATTGACAAGTGCCTCGTAGTAAACTGTGCTTTTCCTCTTTGTTTTTGGAGGTTGGGAATCGAAAACTGTGCTATCCTGAGGCTGTCAGCGCCCATTAAGGAGCAATATGCCAAGGTACGCTTGTGCTCAGACAGTGGACGCTGCTTCCTTTAACCCCATCTTTATTCAAACTCCCCTTTAGTAAGGGGATCGGGGGTTACGCGGAGGAGGCAGGAGAATGGGGTTGAGAAACGTATCAGCTGTGATCGGGTGGGGGAGCAGACTCGATGGGACAAATAGCCTAATCCTGTTCATGTAGCTTATGATCTTATCCGGTCAGCTATGATCTCATTGAATGGCACAGTAATGGGCTGAATGGCCTCCAGCTCCTATGTATTATGGTCTTCTAATGGCTTGCAGTTTTGCTATAACTTCTGAAGGGACTGTAGAGTTATAGAGTCATACAGCACAGAAACATCCAACCAGTCCATGTCGACCATAATCCCAAACTAAACTAGTCTCACCTGCCTGCTCCTGGCCCATATCCCTCCAAACCTTTCCTGTTCATGTACTTAAATAAATGTCTTCTAAATGTTGTAACTGTACCCACATCCACCACTTCCTCAGGAAGTTCATTACACACACAAACCACATGTTTATAAAAAAAAGGCCTCTCATGTCTTTTTTGTAAAATCTCTCTCCTTTCACCTTAAAAATGTGCCTCCTAGTCTTCAAATCTCCGACCGTAGGGAAGAAACACCTGCCCAGCCCCTCATGATTTTATAAACTTTTTTAAGGTCATCTCTGAACCTCCTATGCTCCAGTGAAAAAAGTCCCAGCCTATCCAGCCTCTCCTTATAACTCAAACTTTCCAAACCTGGCAACATCTTGGTAAATCTCTTCTGAACCCTCTTCAGGTTAAACACATCCTTTCTTTAAATGGGCGACCAGAACTGGACACATTACTCCAGAAGAGGCCTCACCAACATCCTGCACAACCTAAACATGATGTCCCAACTCCTACACTCAAAGGTCTGAGCAATGAAGGCAAGGATGCCCATCACCACCTTCCCCACCCTGTCAATATGTGACCCTAATTTCAAAGAATTATGTACCTGACCCTCTAGGTTTCTCTTCTACAACACTCCTCAAAGGCCCTACCATTAATAGTACAAGTCCTGCCCTTGTTTGTTTTCCCAAAATGCAATACCTTGCGTTTATCCAAAATTAAACTCCATCTGCCACTCCTCAGCCCATTGATCCAACTGATGAAGATCTCTTTGTAATCTTGGATAACCTTCTTCACTGTCACTGTACCACCAGTTTTGGCGTTGTCTGCAAACTTACTAACCGTGTCTCCTACATTGTGTATTCTGTAGTGGAGAAGGGGAATTGACACCAGTTAATGTAAGCTGCTTGTCCTTGTTTCTTTTGGCTAGGAGCATGGGCTGGACCTGGGGAAGCTGCTGGGGGCCAGTGAGTACAAGGAGCGATACCGAGAGGATATGATCCGCTGGGGCGAGGAACAACGCACCAAAGACCCCGGCTGCTTCTGCCGTTTCGTTGTCCAGGATGTGGCACAGCCTGTCTGGGTAAAGAGCCCTCACCACAAGTTTATAAACACGTCCTGAGCTCAAACTGCTTACCACTGTGCCAGGGAACTGCTGTTTCACATTCCGACAGCGCGGCGCCGCCCCCCCCCCCC